TTAAAGTGTTCTCCCACTGGTTTTTGAGTATTATGATTCCTGATGTCAGATTTGTGTCCATTAATTCTTTTGCGTAGAGACTGTCCGGTTTGGCCAATGTACATGGCAGAGGGGCATTGCTGGCACATGATGGCATATATCACATTGGTAGATGTGCAGGTGAACGAGCCCCTGATGGTATGGCTTCTTATTAAACTGTCTGTACTGGGCTAGCTTGATTATCACTTCAAAAAAAAATTTTCTCATACTTAATTGGCCTCTCAGAGTTGGTAAGACAACTCCCACCTGTTCATGCTCTCTGTATGTGTGTATATATATCTCCTCAATATATGTTTCACTCTATATGCATCCGAAGAAGTGGGCAGTAGCCCACGAAAGCTTATGCTCTAATAAATTTGTTAGTCTCTAAGGTGCCACAAGTACTCCTGTTCTTTTTGCAGATACAGACTAACACGGCTGCTACTCTGAAAAGAGCAATCAAGTGCACTGATATTCCCAGCAAATAAATTAAGACTTTCAGAACACTCTCTCTGTGGTCAAACCCACTGTGGAGGTATTATGAAACCATTAAGTACTTAAATCATTGACTGCTGGGCATCCTGTAGAGTCTATACAACTAAGTTCTAGTCTACACTACAGATGCTACAGCAGCACAGCTATGGCACTGCAGCTGTGCCACTGTATTGCTGTAGTGTAGACACTTGCTACAGTGACAGAAAGGGTTTTTCTACCGCTGTAGTTAATCAACCCCCTCGACAGGTAATAGCTAGGTTGATAGTGAGATTATTTACCTGTACAGTAACTTGATTTCCTCAAGATGTTTTGTCCCTATGGGTGCTGCACCATGTTCCTATGTATTCTCGAATGGAGACTGTAAATCAATGTCCATGGGCCCATGCCTGGGCAGAGCAGTTCCTCATGCTCCCATACAAGGGCATATAGGGAGGTGCAGACCTGCCATCACTCAGTTCCTTCTCAATTGCGAAACCAGAGGCTCTACAGCAGAGAGGAAAGAGGGCGAGAGGTGGAGCACCCATAAGGACAAAACATCTTGGAAAACAGAAATTACTGTATAGGTAAGTAACCTCTCCCTTTTCTTCAAGTATATGCCCCTATGGGTGCTACACCATAGGAGACTCCCAAACAGAAACTTAACGTGAAGGTGGGTGCTGAGGAGGCAGACCCAAGACCGTTCGGAGGACCACATCATGTCAACTCTGGAAGCAGGTAAGAAAGTGTAGTTCTTGGCAAGCATATGGATGGAGGACCAAATTGCAGTCCTGCAGATTTCAGCTATGGGAACATCTTTTAAGAGGGCTATAGATGTGGAGTGTGCTGTCACTCAATGAGGGGGATGTATTCCAGCAATCTCACAGCATATTAGGATGCAACCCCGAGACCCACTTCAACAGTCTTTGTGTGGAAATGGGCTGTCCCTTCATCCTTTCTGCAAAAGATAAGGCGAGAACCCTCCCGACAACTAGTCTCTGTAGGCTGGTTTCCCCCCTGGAAGCATGAGGCTTTGGACAGAACACAAGTAGATGGATCTCCTGATTAATATGGTATTCCAAAGAGACCATAGGGAGGAAGCGAGGATGGGGATGTAGTAAAACCTTATATCTGTAGAAGATGGTGGGTTTGCCATGAGACCACCTAGTTTTCCCATTCGCCTAGCCGAAAAATGGCTATAAGGAATGAAGTCTTGAGGAAGAGGTGAAGGAGAGAGCAGGTAGCCATTGGTTTGGAGGGGGATTTCCTCAGAACATTGAGAAACAAATTAAGGTCCCACTGGAGGGCTGGGTTCCATACAGGAAGAAATAAGTTGTATAAGCCTTCAAGGAATCTGGTCATAGTAGGGTAAGCAAAAACTGAGACACTCTTGATGAGTGAGTGGAAGGCTGTGATAGAGGCAAAATGTACTCTGACTGAGCTCACTGAGACACCTTGTGTCTTTAAATCCAACAGATAGTCTAGAATAGTCAAAATGCTACGGTTGATCAACAGACTCACTTCCAAATGAAGGGAAATACTGAGATTGTAGGTTTAAAAGTAGAACACCAAGAAAGAGAACCTAGTCTTCAACCAAAGGGGGGTTCTGAACTGCCATACTGAAGTACATGACCCTAGAGGATGTTCAAGATACGAGGGGCATTTTTAGCATCCAACCAGGTGCTCCAGGCACAGTCAACTTTTGGGATGGACTATCAATGATATTGCTTATTGCAAAGAGTAGCACCTGTAAGGCCTTTTTACCAGCCTTAGCATCACTAAGGCAAAGCCAAGAGGAAGGGGCGATCATGAGGAATGGGCCTGACTGTGTCCTCTCTGATATGCTGGGGTATGTGTCTCTGAAAAACAGGAAGTCTATCTATATTTGACTTCTGGTGTGTGTGTGTTGGTGCCCATGAGACTGCAGACTCTGCAAAAACACATCTGTATAACTAACTGCTTAAAAAGTACTTGCTTAATGTTTTTTCTTTGATTGACATGTTGTTGAGGTAACTGTAGCAGTTACTAACATAAAAGGGGTCTAAGGAATTTGGATTTGACTTTCTGGACATCTCTTGGAATCCCTGGCAACTGGTGGGTAGCGGGCCACTGGAAACTTGTCATTTGACCACTTGAGATCCCTCCAGACCATAGGCAACTATTGTTTGGGGCTGCTCTATAACTTATTATGTTTGTATGTGCTTGAGACTAAATAAAGCAGAGACTCTGAGTAAAGGTCTTCTAGTGAGAATGCTAGAGACTAATAAAGTGCTGGCTTTAAGTGAAAGCACTTGGTTTTGATTTGTTTGTGTCAGCCATATAGCAGACAGAGGCACTACATCTCCCTGGGTTTATCCTGATACCACCTTGCAGAGAGTAAAGTTACCAAGAGTTTTGGATTTGGGGAACCCCTGTGTAACACTAGTCCATCAGAAATCCTTACTGAGGCTAAAAATTAAGAAACAGTTACATGGAGGATAAATGAACTGCAACTGTAGGTAAATAAATTAGCTATTGATGGTCAAATATGCTAATATTCCAGAACGAACTGGACACAAATGGTTCAGAGCAAAGAATTGTTTATCTCCTACTATGGAAGCCCATATGAAAACCTTCAAGGCTGACTCACTGTAGGGATAATGGGCTAAAAGCTTTCCTGACAAAATATTTCCTTGATAATGCAGGATGGGAGTGATGGGGTGTACCAGGCACTTTGTGGCCCGGTGCTGTAGGCCCTATGGGCCTACTGCACCCTGCCCCAGGATGGAGCAGTGGAGGTGGGTCCTTCAGGCCTGCCTAGAAAGGCTGCACTGAAGGGCAGAAGACTGCCAGAGGGCTGAGCCACTGAAGACCTACTAGGCAAGGTCGACAACCAAAGAGGGCAGCAGGAGAAAAAAGATAGCAGTACCACAACCAGATGACAGGAAGAACTCACGAGAGGTGAGTATCTCCCGTCACAACCTGGTACTAGAAGTGGGGTCTTTTCAAACCAACCCCTGAAACAAGGTGACAATAGAGGAATTAATAAGTGTTCTAGCCCAGCATCAGCAGCACAGCTCTGCTGAAACTCAACTCCTGACTGAAGGGCAACAAGAGGACTCACAGCCACAACAGTGCCCAAATAAGCCTGGCCGTCACAAATGCTGAAGGGAAAGGCGTCAGATGGGCCCGCTAAGGCAGAGGTCCACAAACAGTGGGGTGCACCTTTGGGGTGGGGGCACGGAGGAACATTTGGAGGGGCATGGAGGGCCCGGACCAGCCCTCATGGGGGGCGGGAAGGGAGCGCCTCCTAGCTTTGTCCTACCCCCAGCTCTGCTCCTGGCCTCGCCCCACCCCAGCTGTGGCCCCGGCCTCAACCCCCTTACCTCTGTCCATGTCCCCCTCATCCCTTGGAGCCGTGCCCTGCTCCCAGCTCTTGGCCCTGAAAGGATTAAAAGCCCACCCTTGGAGAGGGCTAGGGCTGGGAGCCAATCAGAAAAGGCTGAGAGGCAGCCAATCAGGGCCAGGCTGGGTCTTTCTCCAGAAGGTCTTTCTCCAGCCTTGGAGAGAGATGGACCTGGCTGCCTGAAAGAGGAAAAGGGTACCTTGGACAGCGCAGTGCTGGGGAAGGGCAGGAGGAGGAGCTGGGGGAGCTCCAGCCTGGAAAATCCCCAGGCCACGGACTTACTGTCTGGGCCGGAGGAGGTACCAGGGCTGCGGGGAGGTAGCCAGGGGAGGAAGAGGCAACAGGTCCAACCCCCTGGCCAATGATGAGTGACCACTTCAGACTGCAGTTTGCCCCTGAGGGAAGGGGCTAGATGAAGACTGGCAGTGGGTCACTGAGGCAAGGTAGAATTAGAGGATTGAGGTTCCCTGGGAAGGGGAGGATCCCGAGAGTGGGAGTACTGCTGCGGACAGTACCCAGGAGAAGGGGCACAGCGGGCCGGGAGGGATGCGGGGCCCAAGTATAGTGGTGGAGATTGATAATGAAAGACAAGTAATGACAGCAGGAGAGACACCGGACAGCAGGAGGCGCTCTGAGGCTGGAATGAGCTAATTCCCGGACTGACCAGCAGGTGGTGCCGCGGCAGTGAGTGCTCGACCTGTTACAGGCCATATAAAAAGATTTTGCCCTTTGATGAGGTGGACACACTGCAGGAAGAAATGCAGGAGCCAAAAGAATGGGCAGGAGAAGAAGGTGTCTGACAGCACAAATGCATAGGAGGTGCGTGCACCAGAGCTGGCACTAGAGACAGTGAATGAAATAACTGTGGTCACATACACAAATCTTGCTGAGGTGTCAGTGCACACAGACATTCCCACAGGGGCCACAAGCTGACAGTAAAGAACCCACAAGGAGAACCAGGTGAAGACTGTGAAATCTTTCTACGCAGAGAGGCCTGGGAGAGAAACCCTGATCAGCCAGGGCAGAGACTGCTGCATGCACTCCAAGTAGACAGACCTGGGAGAGAGAGATACTGAGAAACCAGAGCAGAGCCAACTACAAGCTCTACAGGCTGTAGGTTAATTTTAAAATTTTAAACTGGAAAATATTACTGAAGTCTATTTTTCAAATGCATTTATCCTTTCTTATGCACCAATTTTTTAAAAAAAGATTAGGATGCAACAACAACAACAAAAAATATGGTAAGCTCACCTACTGATAGGAGACGCCATGTCACAGCAGGAGTAGCAAAACAAGCAAACACATCATCTGTGCAGGCAAAGTGTGTAAGGTGTGGAAGAATCACAGACTGGCCACGGCACTGACCCCACATATACACATGACCACCCTGGGTTTTAGCAGCAGAAGTGTGAGCAGAATGGCAGGCTGCAATTTCTATAACTCTAAATTCACAAGCAAACAAAAACACTGGCATAAGGACAAAGTGCAGTGAGAAAGCTTACTACCACATATCTACTTCTGTAGGCTTGCATGCATTTCAAGTTTTATGGGAATATATTCCCCTTCCCCATCCATCCGCCCCTCACCATAAATGACAAAATGTTTCCATAGCATGCAAGACAACTGAAAATAAGGTTGTTCATTATTTGTACATATACAGCATCTAGTTACTCCTCTCAATTTTCACCCTGAAAACAGCAAATCAGATTTATCATAGAATATTTTACTATTTAATTAAAACCACATCAAAGTGCAACCATTACACCTATTCTTAGCATTACTTCTAACTAATATGCATGCACATGTAGTAACTAAATTATTCTGTAGGCCATTTTTTAGAACATTTTCCAAATGAAGGGCCTAGACCCAAGGAAAGCACTAATTAAAGAACATTACCCCCCACACTTTAGCTATGTTAAGATGCTTCACTAACCCTAGAGGTTGATTTTTAGGTTTTCAAAACTCCCATCACATTAATTGTTACACAATCCACTGTTTTGCAGTCTGAAGTATAACTTGTCTGATTAGTGGTGAAGTTGTGTATATATATATTTAAGACAAAATCTTGCAGCCCTTAGTGTGAGGTAACACTCCCATGGTCATAAGGAACACAGGATTTGGCCAACAACCGATGAAGGCAATATATAACATTTTTATTAAAAGGTACTAAACATATTTGGACTGCGGCAAAAGTGTTTTAAGCAAAAAATAAACACTGATGTTTGAAAAAAAGCAGCAAATTAAGAGGAAATAACACCACACAATATCAGATAGCAATTACCTCTTCCTTCTAGCTGGTGGAGACAGAAACAACTGTAAGAGTAGCATTACACTTTTTTAAAGTCTTTCACAGCAGAAAAACCAAAATGGTTTATTCAACAAGACCCTAATATACTCTAGTAAGGAACACTTTCACATTTCTACTGATAGAAACACAAAGTATTGCATTATCCATAGAAATTATTCTATTACTGATTATCAGGAACTAAGACTGAGAAATTTGTAAAAGCTAAATTTTCAGTCAGAAATATAATTTAATTCCCTCCAGCCTTCCCCTTGCTAATCAAGGACTATAAAAACATATAAGCAGTATTTAATACAAGAGCTACAGGCAAATTGTAAATATCCACTCTTCTGACATTTTCCACATTTTTTGTCTGATCAATCTTAATGGTAAACTATTATTAACATAGCAAATAAATTATAAAAAGATAAGCCTTGTTTTTGGTTGACTCAGTATACTGAAGTGGCAGCACAGCACCAATGACAGCATACAATTAAAACTCATAAAATACTGAGAAGTAGATGCAGTTGAAGGAGAGAGAGAGGCAGGAAACAGCCAGCCCCAGAATTTGTAGTCTCCCTTTCACATCTATTTATCATGGCAATGCATATGTTTCCAGCCAGGTCAAATTTTAATTTACAGATGTAAATGTCATCCAACATTAGAATCTCTTCAGGTTTAGGTCTGTGAAATAACCATAGCTAGCAATTACAAGTGATTTCTACCAAAAAAAGTCACTGTGATTTTGCGCAGCACTTCCGAGATTATTTTTATTTATGGCTGATTATTACAGTGTAAATATTACCTGTCCTTATCAACAGTAACTGGTGCAGGGTAAGACTGATTACTTTTATTGCCAGTGCCTAACTGACCATACGAATTGGCTCCCCATGCATACAGCTGACCTTCATCTGTTAGCACTAATGTATGTGCATAGCCACAGGCAACCTACAATGAATAACAAAAAAATCTCATCTTACTTACCAGCAAATTAATTCAGACAAATAAATATATTTTCATATTGTTGATTCTATATCCAAGAGGATAAAGACATAGGTACGGCCCTACCAAATTCACGGTCCATTTTGGTCAATTTCACGGTCATAGGATTTTAAAAATTGTAAATTTCAAGATTTCAGCTATTTAAATCTGAAATTTCACAAGTGTTGTAATTGTAGGGGTCCTGACCCAAAAAGGAGCGTTGTGTGTGTGTGTGTGGTGGGCTGTCGCAAGGTTATTGTAGGGGAGGTTGCGGTACTGCTACTCGTGCACTGCTGCTGGCGGTGGCGTTGCCTTCAGAGCTGGGCAGCTGGAAAGCGGCAGCTGCTGGCAGGGAGCCCAGCTCTGAAGGCAGAGCCACCACCAGCAGCAGCACAGAGTAAGGATGGCGCGGTATGGTATTGTCACCCTTACTTCTGCATTGCTGCCTGCAGAGCTGGTCCCTCAATCAGCAGCTGCCACGCTCCGGCTGCCCAGCTCTGAAGGCAGCATAGAAGTAAGGGTGGCAATACTGAAACCTCCCTAAAATTACTTTGCAACCCGCCTGCCACTCTCTTTTGGATCAGGACCCCAATTTGAGAAACGCTGGTCTCCCTGTGAAATCTGTATAGTATAGTGTAAAAGCACAAAAAAGACCAGATTTTATAGTCTGTGATGCGTTTTTCATGGCCGTGAATTTGGTAGGGCTCTACACACAGGCAATACAACTTACAAAAATAACAAACACAGATCACACTATAATCGGGAACAGAAAGAGGGTGAGAGATTTTGAGCAAAGAAATGCATGTGAGAAAACCTGCTTATATTTTAAAAAAATTCACAAGCCAATAACCTTTTAAGAGCACAGTAAGAGTTAATGAAAAATGTACAAAAGAAGAAATAACAGAGGCACATTGTTGAAACATAACAAGGGGACCTCAGAAGCAGGTGAAGTGAGAGAGAACTAGGAGAATTTACAAATTTTGCAGTAAAACTCGTATCATGGCATAAATTAAAGTTTGAAACTATGGGCTTGATGCTGTAAGTGCTTGCTACCAAGCGTAGTGCTAACTACTGTAAATAGTACCATTTAACTATAGTATTAAATGCTACGGCTTCCATCCAGCTAAGAACTTAAGACTTAAGTGTTTAAGCATGTGAGTAGTCCCACTGACTTCTATGGGACTAGTTATGTGCTTACAGTTAAACATATACTTAAGTATGCTTAAGTTCTTTGTTGAATCAAGGCCTATATCTAACTGTAAATACTAGGGACCTAAATCAATACTTGTTATTACAGCAACACTTTCTTAACAGGAGAAAAAGATAATGGAAAGTAGGAAATAATATTTTTCTTAATTATGCTAGGGATCTCTTTCTCCATTAGCATCCCCTCCCAGCTAAACTATCTCTTGTGAGGGACCTTACCTGTGAATGGGAATTGGATAGAAAGCTATGTATTTTTATTTATTTATTTCAATTGCTAAAAAACATCCATCCAATGTTACAATTAGGAACCAATCTTCAAAAGACTGCTTTCCTAAATCCCCCATAACCCTCCACTGACAGATTTCTCCAGCACCATCTCTTGTAAATTCATTTTCTTCTTCCTAGGAACAGCCAAGGAGAACAAGGGAGCCTTGGAGTGTGGCCTGGTGGTCAACAAACTTTGGCTTTGACAAACAGAAGTAGATGTCAATGAAAGATGAGAGTGCCAATTACCTTCCAAGAGGAAATAAATATATATTATAAAGATCCCTAAAATTCCTCAGATGAAATCCTGGCTCCATTGAAGTCAAAAGCAAAACTCCAATTGACTTCAATTGGGCTACATTTTCACCCTTCTCTCTAGTGGAGGGGAAAGTTCATTTTTCAGATGTATATTTTCATTATTATGTTTAGGTCTTTAACCAAACCACTAACGCCTTGCCTTCATTGAGTGCAGAATATTCCCTTTAGAATCTGCATTTGCCACATGCTATTTCTTCTGTTCATAAAAGGCTTGACATGACATATAAACATACCCGCTGCACACGAATGCCTTGCAAAGCAGCTATTCTACAGGGTGTTGGCTGATTACCACTGCTGCCCAATCCAAGCTGGCCATTACCATTGTAACCCCAGACATAGACCTAAAAAAGGAAGATTGGATTTTAATTAGTTTGCTATGTATTTTCTCCACTTCTCTTGAAAAAAGAAATCTATTTTATAGTGTTGTAATGTGCAATTCTCTGCAATGACACCTCCAAAGAAACTCTTTCCTTCGTATTTTTAATTTTAATATTTTTGCACATTATATGGCAGGTCGCACCCACAGCTTCTGTTGACAATATCAACTATAAAGTGCACTAAAATTCTACCCCTATGTATTCTGTTTGCCCAGTGCAAGTCTTCAAGGAATATATCATCCAATACTTAGAATTTTTATTACATAGAATTGGACTACCAATAACTGTTCTGTTCCCTGGTATGCAAAGCAAGCTCTGCTTCTAGCTTCCTTTGTCATAGAGCTCATCTCTCGATTAAAAATTGATCCCAAAAGAAAACAAACAAAAATATCTTGAACTGGAAGAAGCAGGTCTTAAACACACGTGATATAGTTTGAGTAAACTATTAAGGATATTATTTTGAATACCTCAAAAAAGCATTTGGGGAACCATATTTCCCTACTCTGCTACCTCTTTAGTGAAAAGTGTTCCATTCATGTTTTATACAGCGAACTGCAGGTTTGATGAGTTTTAGCACATTAATAAACATAACTTATTTTCAATGCCAAGAATTATGGACAAAGAAAAAAGCATTTGAGATATTTTCATGCAAACTGGAAAAGACCAAACATGAATTACAAATAAGAGTAAATCCTGCATAAATGGATGTGTAAGATTTTTTCAGTTTTTTTTTACTGACATCTAAACAAAAACTTCATAGGGGAAAATGACAGTTGCTCACCTGTAACTAGAGTTCTCAAAGATGGACCCTACGCATTCACGATCCTGGGTAGAATGCTTCATAGCAGTGCCTGTTGCACTACTCTTGCGCCCCCTCCTTCCCCTCCTCTCATTTTTGTTCCTGAACTTTCTGAGGACAAGAGGGTGTGGTTTTCCAGACAGCTCAGTTCCTGCACTGCCTCCTCAGATTCAAGAATATAATTAGGACTTCGAGGAAGATGCAAAGGTGAGCATGGAGCGGGAATGTGTAGAGTCCAGTTCTATGCACTGTACAATTCTCAAAGAACTCCACTCACAGGTGAGCAGCCTTCATTTCTTCTTCAAGTAATCTGTACACCTTCCCACTCTTGGGATAGTTTGATAAGCAATACTATCCACTGAGGACACAGCTGGGACACATAGTCCTAATTAAACAGTGTCTTGAGTACTGCCCTAAAAATCGGTGCATCAGATCTGGATGCTAAATCAAGAGAAAGCAATGTTTAGTAAATGTGTGTATATAACTCCCTGTTTCAGCTCTACAGATTTCAATAATAGAACTATGTCTAAGTCATGCTAAAGAACCTGCCTTAGCCCTAGTGGAATGTGTACTAAACTTTACAGGAAGAGGGACAGAGGCTTTGTGGCTCTCCTTAATACACAGTCTAACCCATTAGGCAAGCATTGAGATGAAATAGTGTAGTCCTTACTATTCTCTCTGTAAAATATAAAGAGATCTAGGGACTACCTAAAGAGAATGCCTCTGACCTTTTAGCATCTAGGATATAGAGTTCTGACTCACTTAAATGCACAAGGTCTGGAAAGGATATTGGTAGACTAATGAAGGAAGTGAAGACTATGAAGGAAGGCTGAAAGAATTGGGTTTGTTTAGTTTGGAAAAGAGAAGACTGAGAGGGGACATGATAGCAGTTTTCAGGTATCTAAAAGGGTGTCATAAGGAGGTGGGAGAAAACGTGTTCATCTTAGCCTCTAAGGATAGAACAAGAAGCAATGGGCTTAAACTGCAGCAAGGGAGGTTTAGATTGGACATTAGGAAGAAGTTCCTAACTGTCAGGGTGGTTAAACATTGGAATAAACTGCCTAGGGAGGTTGTGGAATCTCCATCTCTGGAGATATTTAAGAGTAGGTTAGATAAATGTCTATCAGGGATGGGTCTAGACAGTATTTGGTCCTGCCATGCGGGCAGGGGACTGGACTCGATGACCTCTTGAGGTCCCTTCCAGTCCTAGAGTCTATGAATCTATAATTATTCACTTAAGATTGAAATCAGTTATTACGCTGGGAAGAAATTTAGGATGTGTGTGGAGGATCACTTTGTCCTTGTGGAACACTGTGAATGGTGGAGACACCACTGAGGTCTGCAGTTTGCTTATACTTCTGGCAGCTATTGTCGCTATAACAAATACTGTCTTGATTGACAGGTGAAACAGTGAACAGTCATTCATTGGTTCAAAGGATGGTCTCATAAAGTTGAGTAAGGACTAGATTAAAATCCCATGATGATGGGGGAGTTTCTTGTCTGGTGGATAGATGTTCACTGTACCCTTCATAAATCTCTTAACTGAGTCATGGATAAATTCGGTCTGCTGTTCACTGGAAGGCTGAAATGGCAACTAAGTGACTTTCAGCAAGGATACCGATAGATCGAACAGCTTCTGGTGTAGCAAGTATTCAAGTATGGACTGAATCAATGCTGATGATGAAGATATATTTTTATCTGATGCCCAAAAGACAATTCTTATCCACTGGAGGTCATAGCACTTATGAATAGATAGCTTTCTGGAGTTTAGTAGCATGCGTTGCATGCCTGATGAACAAGCATTTCTCGACCATGCTGTTAAAGTATAGAGACTGTGGGTCTGAGTGCAAGCTCTGGCTCACCTCCTGAGAATAGACTTGTGGTAAAGTCACAGGGAGAGAACCATACCCTCACTTAGAGATGTAAGGATCTGGAAGCCACTGCTGCCTCGCCCATGTTGGAGCAATAAGAATTGCCATGGTACTGTAGTATTTATCTTTTGTACTTCTCTTTGGATTAGAGAAAATGGGAAATAGGGACAAAGTGTAGAGGAGGCCCATTCCCCAGCCGGATAGGAATGCATTTGAGATGGACAGGCTGCCTACTCCTGCTCTCAAGCAGAACCTCAGGTATTTGGTATTGTGTGTCTCACTGCCAACATCTGTTTCTGCCACTGATGGGTTTACAGACCATTCCTGTAGCTTTCCCCCTCTCTGTCAGCTGATTGACCAAGCTGTTGTCCTTTTCCACTAGGTGAAGTACTATCGGGTAAATGTTGTCATGGATGCATCAGTCCTATAGTACTTTAACTTCCTTGCACTACTGTGTGGAATGAATTCCTCCTTGTTTGTCCACATAAAACACAGCATATTTTGTCAGTGACTACTTGACTACTTTGCTTTAAGTGAAGCAGAAAGAATTTGAGACCTAGATGGATTGCCCTCATCTCCAATACATAGATATGGAGTCATTATTCAAAGTGGTTCCAACAACAATGAGTTGTTAGGCCACTGAAGTGCACTCCCCATCCCAGGTTGGACAAACTTGACGTAACAGTTATTGATGGGGACAGAGGAACAAATGCCACAGCTATTTAGCACACTGTGACTACCAGGTAAGAGATGGGAACACCTCTTTTGGGACAATTAGCTTTATATAAATGCTCTTCGAATTTGGCAGGTAATTTTTGCCAGCCAATGCTAAAGAGGTTTCATTCTGAAATGAGCATAAAGAGTCATGTATGTCTGAGGCTATAAGAAACAATATTATTGTTTGTTTGGGATTCTTTCACAGTTTTATAATAGTAAACTGAATGTTCAGGATTCCTTCTTCTAGGAAAGGGCTCTTCCTGACTGGGCATCCAAAATCATCCCAACTTAGGGGATTTTCTGAGTAGGAAGGTGTGATTTCTTCCAAGTTATTCCCAGTCATAGATTCTCAAAAAGTACATATGTAAGTCCATGCAGGGATTCCTACAATGAAGCCTTTATGAGCCAGTCATCTCAAATGCACTGCCATGAAAGAAAGGCATTTTGTAAATACCGGGAGGGCAGCAGAAGGGGCAAATGGGAGGACCTTGCACTGGTAACAATCTTCCCTGCCCAAGAAATGAATATATTATTAATATGAAGGTCTGATCAATATATGGAAGTATGCATCTTTCCAACTGAGCGCTCCAAATTAATCTTAGGTGGAAAGGAAAGGAGACATGGGTACAAGCATCACCATGTGGAACCTGAACTTCCTGATGAATGAGTTGAGTTGTCTCAAATCCAGGATGGGCTGCAAGTCCCCCATCTCTCTTCAGGATCAGAAAGTAGATGGAGTAAAATCCCTTGCCTCTGACTTCCTTTGGTAGCTCCTCAGTGGCCTGTGAACCTCAGTAGGCTCTCATAAGGGGGGTCCTTGAATTAAGAGAGACAAGGAGGGTTGGATGGAGGGATGGAACCAAAACATATTGCGCAATCCTCTTACACTATTTCTAGGATCCACTTGTCCATAATGATGGTTTCCTAGTAGTTAAAAGAGTGGAAGAGTCAGTCTCCAGAAGGCAGGCAGGGGTAGAAGGCCACACACCGCGCCCCCACCCGAGCACCGGTGGCACACCTGGGCTGCACCCCCATACCAGGGCACCTGTGGCATTCCCAGAGCCCCCCCTCTAGAGCACTGGGAGTTTAACACCTTTGTGGTCTATTGTATTAAAATGCAATTGTTTGTGTGGTATAGAACATATATCCATGGGAAGGGTGAATCTAGCTTCTCCAGGAACTGAAAACAGTGGGGAGTGATTAGTCAATGTCACTCAAGTTGTAACATCTCCAGAGAAGCGCTCCCCTTCCCTGCTGGAGAGGTTTGCATAAACCAGTTGTGACGTTATCTGATTAAAGTATGATATGACCATGCAAACCATTGTTGCTACCATTGTTATATAACGGCAGCGAATCTTATATAAAGTGTGACACATGGCCAGAAAGGATTAAGCAGCTTGCAGGCTCAATAACCCAAAGTCAATCTTTAATGTCACGTTAGAAGAGTATGTGAATGGCAATTAGGGCCGTTCCATGGTAGACAGGCTAGAATTTTGAAATGCAAACCTATATTGTTAGAAATTAGAGGTGATACTAATTGTATGTGTGTACTCATATCTTATCAAAAGGGAATATTA